CAGCTGAAACTAGAATATAATATTCAAATCTTCTATACAAGATTTAATAATAGATTTGATTTAAGAGAATACTCATTCTGTAATACAAATGAAAATTCTGAGTATATTATAATACACTGTGCATTATACAATAGTCTCAGAGCCAGATTAAAAGAGAAGTATGATTTAAATTAATTAAATATAAGATTCTTATTCTCAACTGAGACAGGAATTAAATACTTAATAGACTTTCTAACAGAAAGTCAAGCAGCTATAAGAAAATGACTGAATTCAAAAATATCTGAATATGAAGAGATAGAAATTAATCAGATATAGTCTGTTAAAACAGCTATACACTATCTTTTAATAATTTTGTTTTATTATAGTCTCTCTTTACTTTACTTTTTTCTTTTCTGTTCTTTTCTATCTACTTATTTAATATGTCTATCTTTAAGACTTTGTTCTCTTTTCTTTTATCATGATATTTTCAAATGATTTCAAAGTATCAGAAGGTGTTAAAATACTGCAATTTGTAAAGAGTTTTTATATTCTGAGCTGAAATTTTCTGATTTTACATATCTGAAATTGATAAATGTATAATAGTTAACTGTATAAATATTAGAAAAACTCTGAGAACTAAAAGTTCTCAGGTAGATGTCATAGTCTCTGACTATATACATCTATAATTGAACAAGAATAATAATAATAACAATTATAGTATTAGTATGAATGTAACTAAGATTGTAATATTAATTCAAAAGAGTGTTTAATATCTTTGTATTCTTGAGACTTATATTTGTGTCTATAGAATCAATTTATTAACAGTAATAGTAGTTACAGAAAAAGCAACTTTTTAATTAAAATTATACTTGTGAGATATTACAATATACTTAACTATCTTACTCAGATAATTAGAATTCTCATTGAACTTCTATTCAGTGATTTTATATATATTATTCTAAGTGATCTGAACTCTGTGAAAAATAACATTATTTAAGACTCTGCAAATGAAAAATGAGAGAGTAGTGAAAGAAAATGTAAATTAAAATCTCTACTCTTCAAGTTTTGCAAATGAGAGCAAATTAACTGTAATATTAAAGATATAGAAAATATTCTGCAAGTTAACATTCTCACTCTCGATTTTCAAGATAATAGTTTCAATCTTCTTGACAAACTCTGTTCTCTCAGTCACAGAATCAACAGAGATAGAATTATTAAAAGATTTAATATTGAAAAAAGAATGAAGCTTATCTATCATATTCAGATCTATATATATATTTAAATATTAAGATCTAGAGAATGCTTTTCTGATAACTGTGAAAGTGAAATAGAACTTAATCTTTATAATTACTACATTCACTGATAATTGAGAACTTATTAAATCATTCTTTTTCTCTTTCTTTTTATCATCATTCTTCTTGTTCTTTCTATTTTTTCTTTTATCAGAGTGTAAGATGAAATACCTGTTAACTGCATATTCATTCTTTTTATAATAAGTGTATTTCTGTATATCTATGTTTTTATTCCTATCTTTATTCTGTTTTGCAGTTACAGAATTAGTCTGAGTCTTCTTTTTCTCTTTGTTAACAATTTTCTTAAATGTATGATTGATCAGCTGCTTCATTAAATCATTGATATTAATATTCATAGTTAATTTTTGATTAATGAAGAAAAACTTATTTAGATGTATCTTAATAAACAGTCTTTGATAATCTTGTAAATTGTTGAGGAAAAGATTATAGTATATATCTTCAGTGCTCTGACAGAGCTCTTTGTGATAAGTAATAAAGTAGTGAAAATATCTCTGAAAAGTAAGATAATCACTGTTCTCAACCTGTAATCTTGTCAATTCTTTGAAGATCTTGATATGTTCTTCAGTCGGTGATATTGTATACTGTAAGAATAAGTACTCACAGGCGATTATTGATTTATTCACAGCTTGGCGTGATATGTACTGATAGCTACTAGAAGTATTCATGATAGAAAGATAAATATAGAGATTAAATATATAATAGTATTTAAACTGAGTTATAAATAGTAGTTATGAACTTCAGTCTATATATTTATATGTAATTAAGAGCTGCTAACTCTATTACTTACATAAGAGATAGAAATAGAGATAAAAAAACTATAAGAAGCAGAATTTCTGATATACTTTTCTCTCTGTAGAGCTTCATCTGTGAAGTCTTTCACTGAGTGACTTCATAGAATCAGCCTCAGCACTGCAGTAATACTTACTAAAAGCTTCTTATATTTATAAAAAAAATCTCTGTGAGAAAAAATCTCTTATTATTATAAAGAAAACAGAGTCTCTTACTTAGTTTCTTATTCTATAAGATTCTTTATAATCTGTAGATCTTTCTTTGACTATTATACAGATTTATCTCATATCTTTCATTCAGAAGAGTTTCAGTTAACTCTCAATTATTCTTTTATAAAGTTCTTATATAATTATTATATAAATTCATTCTGTATCTTTTATTCAGAAGAGTTTCAGTTGATTCTTAATTATTTTTCTATAAGATTTTTATATAACTATTACACAGATTTATTCTGTATAATGAATTACTTCTTATAAGATTACTCTTATCAAAGAAAAGTATTTATAAGTTAATCTTTTACTTATTCTTATAAATCATTATTCTTTGATAATGTAGAGTTGTAAGAAATCTGTTATTCTTTCATCAACTCTGTAGAATTATAGAATTAAAATATCTATAATCTGTAATTACTCTTTATAATTATTTAAAAATATTCAGATGTGTAATTCATAATTACTTATAGTATAAACAAATCTTTTTAAAGTAGTATAAATATCTCAGATCTGTCTATAAAACTTTATCTTCTTTTCTCTTTTTCTATAACAGCTTTTATTTTTATAATCTGTGAGTATCTTCATTTATCTGTGAAGTGTTTTCACTCAGATGACAGAGAGAGAGTGTTTTTAATAATATCTGTATATTAATTCAAGAGCTTCTTAAGAATTAAACTTTTCTAAATTTTCAATATTTCTGTGAATAATGTCTGACTATTATTAAGATTTTTATAAGTGTTCTTATAATAGCTCTGATCACTTTCTACTAGCTGATGATACAGATATATTATTACTTATAATAGTACTCTTACTCTCTTCAGTCTCATCACTGCATTTAATCTTCAGACTAGTAGCTAACTCTATACTTTCTTCAGATCAGTCTCTAACTCTTAGTAATACAGTTTCACTCTTTACTATAAGTTTCTGTGCAGTAGTTTCTTATAGATTATAGCTGACAGTTCATTCTATAAAGGATCTAGTATCATCAGTACTCTCTGCAGCTTACAGATTTATATACTTTCTCTCTATTTATACATCTCTGATCAGATATATATAATATATCTAGATCTCTAATATAGTCTCACATAGTGATACATTTCTGAATTCTGATATTAATAGAAGATGAGTCTCTGAGTATCTGTAAAATTTAGATAATTTAGATAATATAAATACTATGAATTTATAATAGAAGTTGATCTGAGTAGATGAGCTCTCTCTTCATATTTTCATAATTTTCAGATTAAATACTTTAATATAACTGAGAGAGTAGATATAGCTTTATAAGAAATATCTGATAATATATATAGATAATCAGCTTTCAAAACTCTGTTATAACTATATATGATTCAAAGATTACTTGAGTCAGCATACGATTACAGGCGTACGACGGCTTCTTACATACATTATACTAAATTAATTAGTGGCCGCTATGGCCTCTTCACATTCGTAAGCATATTCAGAAGTGTAAGCATGTTCAGAAGCAGCTGTGTTATTATTCAGTGATTGTATGTTCTTCTGAATCACATTCTCTCTCACTAGATTCAGTCACACTCATGTGATTATAATATACACTCTAGCTTCATGCGGATTAGTGTGTCACTAGGACTCATGATAGTGTAGTCTATCTCTGATTTAACTAGCATTCTGTGTACACTCTTATAATGAAAGTTTCACTATATTATATCACTTATTTACTAACTTTTTTCATTCTTCAATCATCTTCTTCATCATCATCATTATTAAATATTATTATCTTATTCAAGATTTCTATCTCTTCTTCTGTTCAACATCTTCTATTGATTTATATATTACATTAGACATGTTTCTGACAATAACTCTCTGTTCTTATAATAAGTGTCATTATAGTGTTCATATCAGGCAGTTTATTAGCAGTAAGTGTAATATGTTGTGAAATATGATCAGAACTTGTTTATCTTCTAACAATTATCAGAATGTACTATCATAAATGATACATCTTCTTCATCTTCTTATATATTCTTAATCTTCTTTTTTCAGTAGATATCTGATCATGTTTTCTGATCATATTTTCTGATTATTTTGTATGAATATAAATACTGATATATTTGTTTTAATTTATATAGAATCTTCATGTGTTGACAGATCTGTGTTCACTGATAATTATAATCTCAATGTTGAATTATTGATTAAGAACTTGAGAGATATAATAATGAAGAAATTGTCTATATTATGTATAACTAAGTCTTCTATATCTCTCTCTGCTCTCTTTGTTTCTTTCTCTGTCACTCTCTCTCAATCTTCTATATCTATCTCTGTATCTGATTCTTCTGCTTCTGCTACCTCTGTTTCTGAGATTCTCACTCTTACTACTTCTGCTTTTACTGCTTCTACTTTCTCTGCCTCTGCTGCTTCTACTGTTATCATCAGCTCTCTCTGTTTCAAGAGGATGTTGCATAGACTTAGTGAATCATGTTTCTCAGCATGTACACTTTCACTCTTTTTACTGATTTCTAGAATAATTTATTGTATAAAGACTGTATATAATATGACTATCTGAAGCTCAGTTATGAACACTGATTATTATATTTGTTTTAAGTATTTATAATAAGATAATTATGCATTCATATCAGATAATTACTTTTCTTCTCAACAGTGTTAAGAGTATAAGTCTTTTTCTTTTTCATCTTTTCTTCTAATGCTAATTTTCTCAGGAAAAATTATTATGAGTTTTATTGTGTATGAAGTTGTGATATCTATGAATATCAAGAAACTTTTTATAACTGTTAAATTCAATATTATAAGTACATTTATTCTGATGAATATCTTCAGAATAATTGACTTATATTAATCTATTCTCTGATATTTATTATCTGATTTTATAATATAGGTGAAGAATATCTGTGTTTTTGAGAACAGAAATGCAGATATTGTACTCTTTTACATTCACAGATGTAAGACTTGTATATCTTGTCTGAAATATCATTGTGAGAATGAGCTGTTTACATGCTGTGTTCTGCTTTCTGCATTTCTCTGTATCTCTCTCTCTCTTTCTGAGAAGCCTTGTATGTGTTGTAATTATACATACAACTCTAAGATCAGCAGATATTCATTCAGTAACTGTTCTCATCTCTGATTTTATGATTTTTATATACTATCAATGATTCTTAGTTACTCTGATATCAGAGATCATTTTAATTGAAGATAATAATACTGCTGAGACTATCTTCTTCTATTCTTAAGCTTCTCTCAGTGCTTTCTCTTTCTCTTCTGTGAGAAAGATTGTGTGTACACTGAGTTGTAAGTATTCAGTCTCAGATAATTTCTGCTATTATTTATCTTATTCTGTGCTCTCTCTCTCTTCTGTTTCTTTCATCTTCATTCTCTCTATTCTGGCTTCTGATTCTGTGAGTTTTATGCTCTTCTTCAATTTTTCTACACATATATGTACATATTTCTATATTGACATTTCAGTCAATCTTGTGATAAATGATATTAATGTTGTACACAGAGTGATAGAGAAATCAGGGATATGTATAGTATTATTATAAGAGTGACTTACAGCTCTTGAATTTCATGCAGATCTTGAGTTTTGAAATTTCCTTTGTTGTTTTAACATTTTTCAGATGATGTAGTGTTGAAAATAGATTAAATGTGTGAGATATAAAAATGAATAAGATATGTATAATAACATTTATCTTTTACAGTTAACTCTTACAGTTGATAACTAATTCATTATCTTTTTTCTTTCTTATACTTTTTTCTTATCTGCTAGTCAGTACTCTTATACAATCTCTATATAGTACAGTGTTTAATAACTAGATTTGACAGCTTTTATCTCTTATGATTCTGTCTCATGCATTATACTATCTCTCTTCACTCACTCAGATCACTACAGTAAACAGCTTATTAAAACTAATCTTATCTAATCTCTGAGTGTTCTCAGAGATTGAGATGACTTGATCTCACATGTCTGCAGATATTTCAGATGCTTTATTCTCTATTATCTCTGTAATTGAACTGATGTAAACAGTTAAATTCAACTCTGAATTTCTTTTTCTTCTGTGATCTGACTCATGTGCAAGTCTGCTGCTCTGAGACTGCTCTTTATCATGTTACATCTGCTGTTTACAGTGTATTATTATATGACTGACTACAGTCTCATTACTTATTGAAGTGTGATGTTTATCTGATTTCTTTATTACTTCTCATTCTTTTCTTATAATTGTGAAAAGATTGAAATAAGTGAGATCATCTGATTTGTAAGTGTCTATGATTTCTCTTACTTTGTGAGACTTTTTAATTATAAGTCTCTTCTTTTTCAATGCTGATGATAGTGCTGTGAATAATCATAATCTGCTCAGATCTTATATTTTTATCTTTATAAAATGTGAATTATTTATTAAGTTGTGTAAGATCTGTCTCTCTAGTTCTTTCAATGTGTATATTCTCAGAGAATTTGATTTGAGTATTTTATATAGCTCAAATCATCTAGATTGAAACTTCTCAGAATTCTCATTGTGTATAAAAACTCATATTCTCATCTTAAGACTTGATTTCTTAACTAGTGAGTCTCATATTCTTTTTGATTGAATTACTCAGTTCAGAAGTAACTTATTTACTTTTATATATATGTGACTGATCTCTTTCAATCTTGGTTCTGTATCTGTGACTGCTGTGTCTGCAACTGCTACTGCTGCATCTGTAACTGCTGTTTCTGCTGCATCTATAACTGTTGCATCTGTAACTACTGTTATTATTATTATTATTATTATTATTCTTCAATTATAGATGTATGCAGTCAGAGACTATGACATCTACTTGGGAACTTTTAGTTCTCAGGGTTTTTCCTATATCTGTAAAGTTAACTATTATACATTCACCAATTTCAGATATGCTAAATCAGAAAATTCCAGCCCAGAATACAAAAACTGTTTACAAATTGCAGTATTTTAACATCTTCTGATACTTTGAAATCATTTGACAATATCATGACAAAAGAAAAGAGAACACAGTCTTAAAGATAGACACATTAAATAGATAGATAGAAAGGAATTGAAAGAAAAAGATAAAGTAAAGAGAGACTGTAACAAAACAAATTATTAAAAGATAGTATATAGCTGTTTTAACAGACTATATCTGATTGATTTCCTCCTCTTCATATTCAGATATTTCTGAATTTACTCATTTTCTTGTAGCTGCTTGAGTTTCTGATAGAAAGTCTATTAAGTATTTAATTCCTGTCTCAGTTGAGAATAAGAATCTCATATTTAATTGATTTAGAGCATACTTCTCTTTCAATCTGACTCTGAGACTATTGTATAATGCACAGTGCATTACAATATACTCAGAATTCTCATTTGCATTGCAGAATAAGCATTCTATTGAATCAAATCTATCATTAAATCTTTACATATAAGATTTGAAATAGCCATGTCCTAGTTTCAGCTGTATTATAGATGAGAATATTTTCTTTTTACATTTAATTGAACAAGATTTCCACTTGGGTTTTGTTTCAAATCTTGAATAATGTATACTCTTCTTTTGTTTCTGCCAGCTTTCATTCCACTTATCTAAACAAGATTCTTTTATTTTTCTTCTTATAAAAGACCAGGACACAATTTTTTAAATAGATCTGCTTAATTCTGAACCCTTTTTTACAGCTGAATCAGCCAATTCATTGCCATGAATATTTATATAAGCAGGAACTCAGTGCAGATGAATTATCAGTTTTAATATTCTTCTCTTTTGAATTTTCAAAACAGAGTTTAAGATCAGTTCAAGATTCATTTGATTATTATGAATCTGACTATTTCTAAGTCTTTTTAAAGCAGCTTGACTATCAGAGAATATTCATGTCTCTTTCAAGCTATTTCCTCTTTTATAAGATTTTATTTCAATGAGTTTGAAAGCTTTCACTATTACAAATAGTTCAGCATCAAAGACTTCAGATTCACAGCCTAAATTTCAGAAATCTGAGATAAAATTGATATTATCTTCAGTATAAGCAATGTCTGTGTCTAATCTATTCAAATTCTCATTTTTGAAGTCATCTGAATAAATCAGAATAGAGTCTTCTATATTGATTATAGAAATTCTCTTCAAATGCTGTTCATATTCTTTCTTCTTAGATAGTTCACTTATTTATAAGTCTATAAGAGATTCAAGCTTTTCTCTTCAGAGAGATATCTTCTCATGATCAACTTTTTCAATATTTAAAGAAGAAAATTGATTTTTAATCAGTGAGCATAGTCTGTACAGTTGAGAAGACATTTTCTTTGAAGAATTATTTTCATTTTAATCAAGAAATCTATTTCAATCCAGTTCATTTCCAGAGTTAACAGATGAAAATGAAGAAGAGACTCTTTCTCTGATTATATAATTTGAGCTCATCTTTATAACTCTTAGAGTATAGTTCATACAGATCTTTTCAAATCTAATAGCAGAAGAAGGAATTGAAGCTTCAATTTCCATTGCTTTAATAGAAGATGATTTGAATGCTCTCAGAATTCTTCTCAAAGCTCTGTTTTGCAGACTTTGAAAGAGTTCAGTGAAATTCTCTTGATTATTTCATCAAACTTGAACTTCATAATCAGCTACTGAGGTAATACAGACTATATATAACTGTCTCATAGTCTGGAAGAATAGACCTCTCTCTGTATTTGATAGTCTGATTATGTTGTTTAATAGTCTTTCTGCCTTGACAGTTCTTTGTTGAATGTGATATTTAAAATTCAACTTGAAGTTTAATCATACTTCTAATCATTTGACATTTACACTGGGTTTAATCTCTCTATTTAAAAGAGTTAGAGATAGTTCTTTCTCATTGAATCTAGAAAAGAAATAAATTAACTCAGTTTTATTCATATCAAATTGAATTTGATTGATATCTGCTCTAATAAAGATTTTCTTTACAGCTTCTTCAATCACTTTCAAATTCTCTTTGATAGTTTTTGAGCTGTAGACTAGACCAATATCATTCATATAACTCAGAGATCACACTATTCTCATATTTCTATTTTTGAATAGATATACAGTGTATATTACAAATAAAATGAGTGAGATTGAAGATTCTTATGATACTTCTATTTTTATCTCAGTCTTATCTTATTTCATTTCATCAAAGAAAAGTTGTATGATTCTTTTAGATATAAAACAGTTAACTCATTTTATTAGAGAAAGTGACAGTTTTAACATCTTCAAAGTCTGAATTAACTTTGACTTTGAAACATGATCAAATGCTTCTTTTATATCAATAAAAACTGCAGTTGAGACCAGATTTTCATACTTTGCTATTTGAATATCATGAATAACTGAGAGACCAGTGTCAATTGTAGAACATTGTTTTCTATCTCTCATTTATTCACTGAATAAAAGAGAATTACTGATAGAGCTTATAAAAGATTGTCAAGTAGCTATTATCTTTTCTAAAACCTTTTCTAGACAGTTCAATAGAGATATTACT